GATGCAACCCCTAACGACTCTTTAAAAAAACGTTAAGTGGGAACGGTCAAAAGATCATCAGGCGGTAATTGCCGGAGTAAAGAAGAGCTTTAGAGAAGTTCCTGTTCTTGCGATTGCAAACCACGATAAGCCTTTTATGTGGTCCGCGATGCAAGTGATTATGCCATCAGTTGTGCTGCGATGCAGCAGGATGATGAGGATCGAGAGCGAGTTGTTTCGTATCAGTCGCGACAACTCCGGCCCGCGGAATGGAACTATCCAGCTCATGACAAAGGGCTTCTAGCAATGAAATATGCTCTAGTTAAGTTCCGTGTGAACTTGCTTGGAGAGGAGCACATTGTGATCTATAGATATCATGCCTCACTGCGTACGGCAGTAAAAACTTCTCATGTATCGCAAAGAATGGCTCAATGGTTCTCCTTCTTTGCGGAGTACAACTTTGCTGTACACTACAAGCCAGACAAGACGAACATCTTAGCCGATGCGTTGTCAAGACGTCCGTAGTATGAATTGAAGTCTAGGAGCGAAACATGCACGAGTCATGTCGACAATGCAACGATGTTCAGACGATCAGGGGGCAAGCAACGAAAACAGTGCGCCAAGAAATTGTCGGAGGATATGAGTCTGATGAGGCATGTCAGAACTTGTTGAGGTATATTCAATAACCCTTTCGACAAAGCACTGCAAGGTCTTTCGTCTCGAATAAAATTGTGTGCTCACCGTTTTGGAGTACACAACGGATTGTTGTACAATGCGGTTGAACACGGGAATACAGCACGATGTGTTGTTGAAAATGACGATGGTTTGCGTCATCGTCTTTTATATGAGTGCAAGACAGGTGGCCATCTCGGATGTGAGAGACGTTTCTCAGTCTGTCCGATTAACATTTATAAGTGGGACCGCAAGTATGTGAGGACTGGTGAGTTTTGCCAAGGAGTAAACCCATCGGGTTCCACTCAACTCCCACTTCCGTCGTTGGCAGTACCAACTGGTAGCTGGAAGTCTGTGAGTATGGACTTCATATTCGGTGTTCCACGTGATACAATGGCATCCTTGTCTGAGTGAACCTATTCAGCAAGATGATTCATCTTGCGTCTGTTTTCGACAAGATCTCTGTCGAGAAGAGAGTTAAGATCTTTGTAGATGTTGTTTTCCGTCTGCATGGCCTTTCTGTCGAGATCGTGTCTGACCGTGACACCCGTTTTACGTCAAAACTTTGCGTGCACTGTTCGGACTATTGGGCACCAAATTGTCCACGTCAACAGTGACCTACCCTGAACGAACAATCAGACAGAGCGTGTGAATCGAGTCTTGAAGGTCTTACTGCATAGTTACGCTACGTCGTTTAAACAGTGAAGTGAAAATTTCCCACTTGCAAAGTTTGCGCTAACTCCACGCATGTCTCGACAGTTCATTCACCATTTCATGTAAACTATGGAAGTTATCCGATAGTACCTGCCTCCATAATGGGCGAGGTCTCTACCTTATGTGGACGAGGAAGTATGGCTATAGAGTCACGACTCAATGAGATCGCTAGACGACATGACAAGTCGTGAGGAACAGCACGTCGATGACTTTATTGCGAAGAGACCAGCCGTTGTTCTGTTTATTCGAGACGCAATTGCGAAAGCTGAGGATCTGCAAAAAGAACAAGCATATAAGAGCGGAAGGAAGAACAAGAAGGTTTATAAGGACAAAGATCTTGTACTACTTAGCACGGCAAATCTGCCTGAACATGCAGTGTCTAAGGTGGGAAGCAGAATGTTTTTACCAAGATTCATCGGACCGTTCAAGTTCATGAAATGCAGTGGCGATGCGTATACATCAGCAACCCCTACACGCGTGCGCCTACAGCCAACGTTTTATCTAGGTAGGTTAAAGTCGTTTCTTTCCAAGTGGATCTATCATTTTTAATCTACCTCTGGGAAATGATTGAGCTTGTCACGAAGTTTCTCCATTTGTCCACGAAGAGCAGCTAACTCTTCGCCCTAAAGATTCTTCTCGGCGTAAAATCGTTGAAGGACATCAAAGAATTGCTCCTTCACTGATTCCAACGCTTGAAGGCGAGAACGGTACTCACCACGGAGTACCTCAAGAACCGAGCCTGCCTCTTCAACAGAGCGCAACAGGTGTTCTTGAGACATCTCACGAGATTTCCCGTCGTTCTGGAACCAAACAAATTCATGATGACCCTGGTGAACCCGTAGCTCAAAACGGGACTTCAAAGACGAGCATGGGCGAAAACATCAGTCAGAACGTCGGGTTTCGAGTTCTGCTCTTCAACAAGGTTCGTAAGACTCTTGCAGCAATCTTCTAGTGTCGAGCAACGCTGCTGCAATGCCTCAATTTGCTCGTGATGAGCGCTCTTCCACCTCCAGAGTCGCTCAATCGTTTTCACGTCCAGCCCCACCTCCGCTATTAGACTCCCGCGGAGAACGTCATTGGCTGGTTGAGACGATTGTCGATCACGATGACATTATCGTGGAAAGAAGCAGTTGAACCATCGACGATTTTACAGAGTCCGGTGGCCCGGCTATCTACGGACACGGGCACGTGGAAACCTCGTCAGCCTTAGTCTTATGTCATCGACGTCGTCCGCAGCTACAAGAATCACATGTAGTTCTGCTAGAGGCAGCACTTCGGCGTCCAGAGCTTGGTTGTGCTCGGTCGTGACTGGGATTCCTGCCAGCGCCGACTCGGCAAAGCAGGCGCTTCATTTTGTTCCCGTTTTCAAGGCGAACGAATGTCCGCCAAGAGTCAGGCTTAGCTGCGATAGGCTGGGCTGGATCATCACGATTGTTGATCCGACGCCAAAGAAAGATTCGTTCCATGTAGAACCTCTTGTCTCCAATTCGTTTGAGAATAAGGGAAACGTCAAGGAATTCTGGAACCGTCTGTTACCGTTTAGGCGAAAAAATACTCTTTCATGTTGGCCTGTTCACTAGATCGCTTCATTGTTGATCGGAAAGTGAGCTGCTTCAAAAGGTCTGCAAAAGTATCAAAGTACTTTTGACTTTAGGGGGGATGATGTATTGGGCTACCCTTCGCCATTACAGAGGGTACATTTATGTACCTTCTCTATGCAATGTGGGAATTTATAAAAGAAGATTACAGTATGGTAATTCCAAAAATGCATACGTGATCTCTTATATGCAGTCACAAATATTCTATATGATATAGAATGCTGATTCTTACTTGTCGATATGTACTGGTGACAAGACAGACGTATCTATGTCTTTAGTAGTGGGTGGCGTAAGCTTGTCATTTCCAATGGATGCTTTCTACGAAATTCGAAGATTAAGCTTTCGAAATGTTTGGCGTAAGCCAGTCCCTTCTACTGCATACCTTCCACGAAAATTGAAGTACAAGCGCTTAAAATTCAAGCTCTGTACATCCAAGATCTTCTATCAATTGAGGCTGAGGTTCAACGTCTGCTCCCTTGATTTATAAAACAGGACCCGAAGGTTTTATTAGTAAAACCTCAAAGAGCCCTTGGGGTGTTTTGCATGTAGCTAGAAACCATAACTCATAGTTGCACATTTACCTTTAAAGATATTTAGTCGCTCTTCTTCCCACCAAGTCGGGATTCGCTTGAAGCGTGTGTGTGTCTGAGGGACTCTTTGTGAACAGCGCCCTACAACCAAGGTGCTATAGCTTTAGCGAGCAAAGCGGGCTACCACGCTGGTACAAAGCATGTGGACATCAGGCATCACTTCAGTCGGGAGAACGTTCAGCATGGATTGCTGTAGATTGACTAAATCGATACGAAGTATCAACTTGCAGATACGCTGACGATGGCACTAGGAGCCAAAATGCTCTAGTTTCTGCGCAATACACCGGGTATCAAGACCAAGTCAGCGATAAACTACACTATAGATTAGCGGTGAGTGAGAGTGTTGAAATTAAACCGCTGCATAACGCTACAAATATTACGGTTATGGTCAAAAATAGTGTCATGGTTTTGAATATTGATTACAGACATGATGGTAGTCGTTCATTGGCCAAGATAAGCCAGATCAGCGTCACTTGGCCTTGAGGTAGTCAGATTAGTGTCACCTGTCCTAGAAGTAGCTCAGAGTAGCAAACCAGAGACCTTATATAATATATTCACTTCGGGCTTTGCCAACTTTTCTACACACAGCCTACACACCTAGCTCTAGAAATAAGAAATACAACATCTTTTAACCGCATGCGGGACATACCGGTTATTAGTATAGCCTGGTCCGTTAACGTCGACAAGATAATGACAGTCCGGACTTCGCAGATACAAATAGAGATTAAGCGTTCACATTTGCGGGGCTGATGTGAAGCCACTGTTTGTAAACGAAGTCAGCGCGCGCATATGTCTACCTCAGTGCCTTGATTTCAAACAATTTCTCGATCGAGTCGACCGCAACGCCGTAAGGTTGAATAACTAAGCGTCCAGTTGAGTAATTGGTGTAGAAGTGAGCAAGAATCATTGTTTTTTAATCGCAATTGATCACTTACAAGCCTTGCGACTGTTTCATCAAAATGATTGGGGCCGACCTGTCATTATGTGGATGCTAACTTACCAGACAACTCAATTTCTCAAAACTAAATTCGAGTATTAAATAACAGATACCAAAAACGTCTACTAACCGAATTGTCAAGTCATACTACATTAGAGTGATTTGTCAAATATGCGACGTCAATTTAGCTGCCTTTGCGAACTCGCTATGATTCTATCGCCGGTTCTAGCCTAGGGCCCAGAACGCACATGGTTTTTGTCTCTGACGTCTAGCTGATGTGCCGCGATATTGTAGCTTTGCAAAGAACTGCATTAGGCAAACAGTGACTATTAATCTACTGGAAAATGTTGAATGCTCGTGACAAATGAACGCTGCATGTTGCGTATAGACAAGGGCGGGGGGATGGGGCTGTGCGTGTAAAAGTGTTCATTTGGTGTGGTGTGGTCCGAACCCTAAAAAAAGAGCTGGTAAGCTATTCGTTCGCCATATAGAAAACAGCAAAGTGCAAGCATGACCTTGGCTCATGGAGGTCAATTACAAAGCTTTATTTGGCTCTTCATAGTGGTGCTTGAGAGTGTCTGTTTCGCGTCCGACGGTTCCAATCTAGATGTAGGAACGGTCGCCGCAGCTTCAGCCACAGGATCGGCGACTGAAGGCGATATAGGCAATGGAGAAGACGATGAGCAGCTTCAGAGACAACTGACGACACTGAGGGTATGTGGTTGGCTGGTGTTGCTGCTTTACGTGGCGTTGTCGCTGGCCATTGTGTGGCAAACCTCGCTACACTTTCTGTACTCAAGTGCCAGTGCCAAGAAGGCGTTTCACGTGACGCTCCTTGTATCGATGCTGCTTCAGTTATCTCAGGCGATCGAGTGGATCTGGTTTCCAACGTCACATGCCTGGAAGGTCATTTACGTTTGCCGTCTTCACTCCCTGTTGCTACTCTCTTTCTGCAAGTCTTACCTGGCCGTCTGTTGGGCTGGTGTCGTCTCGGCGGGACAGCAACTGGCTCGACGTCGCATGACCAAATATGTTACGGGAATGAACGCGTTACTTATTCTTTGGGGTGTGATAGTACCAATCTTGCTTGCTGGATACAGTGATAACATCAACGGCCAGTACAGCTTCATGAATAGCACCTTTCGAAGCGTGCTAAAATTTTCAGACGGGTTTATTGTGCTCGCATACGGCGTGCTGTTAGGTTATCAGGGTTTTTGCCTGCGTCGCCGCCTGCAGCTTGCACGCGGTACTGTTCCAGCCGATAGCGTGGAGAAGTCGCTTAGCCAACTTATGCTGGCTATCTCAATCTTTATCGTCTCCGATCTAATGCGAATTCTGGCCATGGTGCTTAACGAGTCACAAGTTGCCATGTCCATACTCATTTACCTAATCATGTATAACATCATTCCCAACATCTTTCCGACGTTGTGCATGTTGCACCTTATGAGAAGGCTTACGAGAAAAGATGGCAGCAACGTAGGTATGAGTGAAATAAAAGAATTAGGTGCCAAGCGAACCCTGACAAAGCACTTAACAGAGCCCGACTCGGACGGCAGCACTGGAAGCGATGGGGCTAATCGTGAAAATGCTCTGGCTAGAACGCAATTAGAGGTGCAGACTGAGCGGCATGAATCCGACCACAATGTTCAAAGTGGTCGCGAATCTCAGCGATCGCCAGCATCCTGCTGGGTTCGCGAATCTTTGGAGCTTAGCTGAACGATCCAAACACCATGCTATACATGGTACAGACGACCTTAACTTTACAATAAGTTATTAACCATAACTGACGGCAGAACAAATGCTTGATCAAGATGATTAGAATGAAAATTTTGAAGAGAAACCAATATATAAAAGAGGTGATGTTTGAAACTAAGATCTACGCGCAACCAAGCAAAATTAAGACTTGGTTTCAGCGCATTTATACGAACAAGATGCATCAATGATTTTTGCAGATCAAAACAAGTTTTTAGTTCTCGCCGCGATTTCAAAATGCGCAGAGCTTATTGAGTGCATTTGTGATTTTCTTCGAGGTTCGCCGTAACTAAAGCTTGCCTTTTTGCTGGCGCTACAATCAAGCTTGACATTCACCAGATCACAGTGAGGGAGTTAATAAGTAAACTATCGCTGTGAAAGACCACGACATCGATTTCAATGCCTTCATCTTTTTTCTGCGGTCTTTATTCGATTCGGCTGCTTCGATCATGCTCAAGTGTAACATGTATGCACAATGAGTTTGCGAATCGTCGGAGACATTTTCCAGAACATGAATGAGAACAGCTAGTGGTACCACCTTTTTTGTTGTTGCTATAATTTGCGATACTGGGTGAATAAACATTGCTTGCGAAGCTACTTGCAACTACAGACTTGACAGAAAACTCATTCGCGGTGTCAATCATGTACTTCACTCACAGGAGCAACGCCAGCATACCTGACCTTCCTTTAGACTGAAAGGACAATCCTTAAATCCACTAATACACACCTGAAGGCAGACAGACTAAATTTTCGTGAGATGAGCCGCCCTTCAAGTGTCTTTCCACATAGATTAGAGCTGTAGTAACCGAGGTAAGGTACACAACGCTGCAATCACCAGACAGTCGCACAACAGCTTTAAATGGACGGTCCAATTATTGTAATCAAATCGTCGTTATTAAATGCTTCGTTACGTTTATGTCAATGTTGTCGAGCGGAGCGAGAAAATGTAAAAAGGCCGCAGTTAATTAGTAATTTTCGCTTGGTCTGAAAAAAACAAGAGCCGCCGGGTAAGAAAGTCAATGTTAACTTAATTGTCATTGTACATATGTCTCTAAAAGCGCTGCTAAGTCGGCCATAGCAGCTACCCTTTTTCGTAGCGACCTTTTTTAATGCCCAAACCTGCCACAAAACCCTCGCCTTCTTTTCTTCCCTCATTCGTTTTATCCTTCCACGTCTTCTTCATGCCTTCCTCATGAAATCCTAACTTTTCCAGCTCTTCGGATTGCATCAAACCCCTACAGCACACACAGAAGACCATAATGAGACCACCACTTTTAAATGATTTTAGTATGCATATGAACGACGCACTTATCCATACGGCATTGTAAGTAGGACGCTGAGAGTTGCTTGCAATCAATATGGCTATTTCCGTGCTTACGCATGCAAGCCAAAAATTCCTTCATGGCTGGTTTGCACTCACCATAATGATCAAGAGGAAATGATCCCTTCTCCGGTGGCCGCTTATTCTGCGAAGGCGCTTGAGCTGCGTTCATTGCACGATGCAAATGTTTTTATCATTGACCAGCTTAAGTACGCACAAAAACAGACGTGTAAAAATCCAAGTAATGTTAACTGGAGTGGTGTTAGTTGGCATTGCAGCAGGAGCCTTGGTGTTCATAGGCTCGCTGCTAGCAGTTTTTGTGCTATTGCACAAAGGAGGATCTTTTGACCGCATGGCGCTAGAAGCTGTGGGTATGCCGATCGCTCTAGGTGAGCAGAAGCCTTTGCTATACGACGACCTATTGGACAAGGCCAATATGCTGGAACTCCTTCCACCGCCGCTCGGAACCAAACAGCTCAAAGGAAAACGCGTGTTTGTAAAAGACTTTGTTGGTCTTGATGACGTTGCTGATCTCTTCGCTATCTCATGTGGAAAGCCACAAGCCGGTATCTATCGAGATTTAAAATTCGACGCCGACGAAATGATCTGGCGCTATTTGCCACATGGACCCTTCGCTTCAGAGGATGAATTTAAGAAATTCTACTTATCTAAGAAGATAGACGCTCGTCACTTTGTTTTAATGGAGTGTGAGAACAATCAACCTATTGGGATGGTGACGCTCGGGAAACATTCGCCTCGAAATCTCCGTGTCGAGATAATGAACTTGTGGCTAACACCTGCTTTCCAAGGCTCAGCTGCTCTTACAGAGGCTGTGCTGCTGTTGCTGACGTATTTGTTTGATAATGGATATCGACGAATTGAGTGGCGATGCGACGGACATAATGTCCGTGCTCGACGAGCTGCGCACTCGTTAGGTTTTACCTTTGAAGGCGTTATGCGAAAACATCGTATTGTAAAAAATTGCAACTGTGATACAGTCGTGTTTGCTGCTATCAACAGCGAGCGGGAAATTATTGTGGAGCACTTGCAACAAAAACTTCAGCAAATCTTGCACAAGGTTTCACCAGTAGCTGATTTAGCTACATAGATTAATAAAACAATAGTATAGTTTCGACCAAACTTTTTAGCCAAAGTCGATGGTAATCGCGTCAAGGTGTAATTCACAAATATTTTGTTCGTTTACGAGAGTCAAGACCAAATACAATACACGCTAGTCAGATTTTTCTATACGATCACTCAGACCTCCCGCCTTTCGGTAGGCATTCTTGTCAACCAAATGTACTTCTGCGTGTTCAAGCCAATTGATGAGAGCAAAACCGCTCTCTGGATGGTTCATCAGCCAATGGTAAGTGACCCATACTTGAATTGTAATGTAAATTGCGATCAAGACGTCAAGTGTGTAGTGCAATCGTGTGCCCACAATAGCAAAGAGGCCACCGGCCGACAAAGTATAGTTGTAATAGCGAATCATCCAGAGGATATAGGGATAACGCCGGGTGAACGGTGTGTTCAATTCTGATCGCTCACAATACTGCAAGTAGCAATACATGTTTTCGTCATTGATATACACACCTAAACAATTAGAATTAAGTTTGGACATACCGTTCTGGCAAACATACAGCAAAGAACCAGAAAAACTGCATGGCCACTAAAGATCATGTCACCGCATGTGATGTGCTGTGACGGGCGGATCAACACCTTCCAAGCGCGAAAAAAAGCTCTTCAAAAACATCAAATTGCACAACCATTATTACATCACTTCACCAATTTGATCCAAAACAAAAGTCTTACTTAGGAAATATCGGATGAGATTTGTACGTGCCACGTTCTACGCTGTCAAACTGAGAGATACACATGGGGCTCGCGTCTGGTAGCGACGTGACTGCAACGCAACATGCCCGCATGAGGTTTATGATAGCGAAGATGAAGCAGAAGCGACGTAGGATCAGCAACCGCTGCAAAAGTGAATAGTAACATTCAGTAAGTTCAGCATGACTATCAAAAGAAGAAAGAAACTTACCCGCGGGTGTAGAATGATAATCAATGACGTCAGCATACCCACAGCCGCAAGAAACTCGTCAGGTAGATCAAACCATTCCATGTACGTGGTGTGGCCGTATATCTTCGTCATGACATACCTGAAGAGATCATGTCCAAGATCTGGAAGGGTCTTAACATTTGTATTTCCCTTGGCTAGGTCAAGAATTACAACATTAGGTGTACGCCAACTGTCAGCGATTCACGACATTAGCATCAACATGCCACACACCCACTATTAAATTGACAACTCATACCCTGCAATGACGGCAGCCAACGTATTTAAATACGAGGCAATAGCAAATATTGACAGCGAAAATGCGAGTCGTGAAAGATAAGCGTAGCTGAGCATTTCAGCAATGAAACCTTGTCGTCCTGAGTGGTCAATGGCGCGAACCTTAATATACTGCAAGTTTTCTCCCACACGCATTCGTTGGTCTAATACGTAATCTGACATGTCCTGTAAATTTTTCTCCACGCGTGACCGCAGCACGAGCCCGCGGTTGGAAACAAGCGCACGTGTCGTAGCGGCCACAACCCCCACGAGCAGCAAAAGAAAAGAGATGATGATGATGAAGCCAGACGGGTCAAAAGCCGATACGGGTCGCGCTTTCATGGCATAAAAGTGTGTTGTAAAATAGTTCGTCCAGCTCTCCATCGCCTTGGGTTGATAGTCACGGTAACGGAGTGGAGGGAGCAACTGCTCGAAGACGAATGTTATTGAAATCGTCCAATCGTCAGGCTGCTAAGAAATTAATTGACCCAGTTATGTCATTATGATTTTCTTTTATGTGATTAAAATTTTTGACACATTTTTCTGACAATCAACAAAACTGAAAAGACATATTTGACGCAAAGCCTCAATCTTATCTCGATGTTTACAAAATGCGTCGCACCTCAAGCGTACGCCGCAAATATGAAATCTGCGCTACTGAGACGGCCATTAGCACAGCCATTTCGACAAATGTCCACCACATAATTTGATCGTGGGTGCTCGTAATCACTACAAAGCAAACATGATACTTTTGTCAGACTTGAAGTATATGCGAGACGTTGTTATCTACAAAGTAGTCAGGCGCAGATGTATTGCAACGTACATTGATCTTGGTAGTTTGCCAGCGTTTCCATAAAAGTTTGGGAATCTTTGACCATGTCCAGATTTACGCTTAGTTCGTAAACCATATCCTCCAGCTCCACCACTTGCTCTTTTACAAATCAAATACATTTGAAAAGTGTGCACAATAAATAGAATCCATCAGCGTTACTCAACTGATTTTTGTAGCGTCTGCGTTGGACAGCACTTCGTGGTTCGGGTCATCTGCGTGAAATGAGAAACCGACGACCACGTCTCCCGCAGGTAAACGATCATTGTTGAAGCACACTGAGTGCATTCCACCCCCTCGAATTGGGCTTGCATATCGTCCCTGTGCGCCCTTGTGTGTGTACACAACGTCTTCCTTGCCGTCCCTCAGCTCCGTCTCCAGCTCGTCCGCCACGCCTCGTAACACCTCATAGTTAAGCGAAATACCATGTTTGTAGCTTTCCGCCTTCACGTAAAAGCACTCGGAGGCGCCAGACGATATTGTGACGTGCATGGAAGCGACCAGTGGCACCGCTACAGCTACTAGCGTGAGAGCCCAAAGCATCAGTTTTGTATATTACTTAACTTCGAATCCGGTCTAAATTACAATTTGGCTTTATTTTTCTAAATGATCAAATTTTGGTCCACAAAGCCTCGTTGTTAGTGACAGGGTAACAACATGATTCAGACGGTTCGGCGTGAACTTGACAATCTATTCGCAGTGCACATGGCCATAGCAGTCATAACTGGGACTTTTTGCTTTCTAACGCCACATTCGCTTATGTCTCCCTTGCTTGGCGACATTAACAATTCGCACATAGCACACGAGTTTGTGCGGCTTTACGGTGAGTTAGACGATGCTGCATATACGGCCTCTTTTGTTGTACTTGTATTGGGATGACACGTTAGAGTTCACATATATTGATCTGGCCAACAGGAGCATTGACACTTGCGCAGGGATGGATGGTTTGGCGCACCCGGCTCGTGAGCGACGCGATTATTCGTCGGACATTCTGCCAGGCTTATTGTATTTGCTTTCTGCTACAAGCGTTGGTGCTGCTACGAGCACAAATCGCTTCGCCGGAGAACCACTCACTGCTAAATTGGGTCAACATTTTCTTGCTTGTGGCATTGGGGCTGGCATATGGCTACTTCCTTGTCTTCAAGACAATAAAAGCATTCGAGTTGCCAGGCGTGGGGAGAGGTTTGCTTTAAATCGAGCTGATTGACGAACAAATGGCACGAAAAAGTTGAAATTAGTATTTTATGCACCTGTGTATCATAAAACTCTTTGTATTTCCAACAATAGCTTAAAAAATTAACAGGTGTTCCGGCATACGTCACAATTGATTGGACTTCGGTTCTAAACACGAAGAGAGGGAGCCAGTCGTTGGGTCCTCTGCACTAGAAGAGCTGGGAACAAGAGCACTAGAAGCTAGCTTGATGCCTAAAGGGGCATTTTTGACAGCCTGTGATTCGACAGCAGCTGATGCTGAAGTAACATCAACTTGCGCCGGTGTCGACAATGTTTTGCGTTTTTTTCTCACCTGCAACACATTAACAGAATTGGCTGCAGGTTTTTCCTCGGAGCCCTGATGTGCAACGGGATCTACAGCCGGTGTTTTAGTTTTGCCAACGGTGACTTTCGCCGGAGTCAGCGTATTAAGTCCTGATTGAGACTGAGTTTGACTTCTTGGTTTCTTGCGCGCCTTATTAGGCGTCGCAAACATACGTCGCATCTTTACTTCATTGAGAGCTACATGATATATGTTCGAAATCAAAGTATTATCAACACTAATACCCACTAGGAACAAAAAATCATACTATTAACTCACCTCGGTAAGGTTGGCTTGTACCGAAGAAACCAGCTTCGAATCTAATGAATGAAATATAGCCATCCGTTGACGAAATACTTAGTGTCTGTCCATCTGCAGTCCACGAAGCATCAGTCAGGTCTGCGTAGTGGAGGCCCTTTATCGTACAGATGGGGTGAGAATGCTGTACAGAACAAATACTAATTATTACAGCTATCACAACCGTACAAAGATCCAGTAACATAATTTACCTGTGTGTCATGGACAATGACAGCGTCAAGTGTTATCACAGCAAAGACAGAGCGTAATTCTGTCTTAAAAAGATTAAACACTGAAGATTCTTCACCTTCACAACGTAATTTGTACATAACAGGACTGCAGCGGACAGCCAGTGAGGTCTTTTCTTGTCCAGGTAAGTGTAGTGTTGGCTGACTCAAATTTCCACGTGAAAATGCGTAGACTGTGTTTACAGCAGACGCAGAATCGCTTGATCGAAACATTCCAGTTGGTGCTAAAAAGTAATTTCCATCAGGTGTCCAGGCAGGTCGACGTGCGAACGCAGGGCACGTATCGTCCAGAAACATCCGATGTTTCGGTGGGGATACAGTTTTAGCGATTACGTCTCCTAAAGTGGCTTCAGCGACTGTGCTGTTGCTGCTCTCTTCTTTATCTTTGTCATTCTTGGCTTCAAGATTTCTCTCATTATGCCTTTCTGGAGAAAAGTCCCGGGTCTTTAGCGTTTGGATGCACATAAATTTGCGCCCCTGCTTTTTCATGTTCAAACGCGGTCCCGCTCCAAAGCCACTGAGCGAGTAAACTCTGCACGTGCGGTCGTTACCTTCTGTGACAATGAATTCGTTAAGCGGATCCCATGCCACGCCTTGCACGTATTGCGTGTGGTCTTTGCGCCGCTCAGCGACATCGCCCTTTTCGACGTCCCATATAACGCAACGGTTGTCAACCGACGTGGATGCGAGGAAGGCTGAGTCGGGTGACCACGAAAGGTCTGTAATATCGCCCTTATGACCTAGCGACAAGATGTTTCGCTTTACATCGCTAAGCGAAGAAATCTGGTCCCAGTGCCAATCATCACCCGCTGTCTTTGGCTTACTCCAAAGAATGATCGACGTATCGTCGCTGGCCGACGCCAAGTAAGCACCATTAGGAGAGAATCGCACACAATTAACACTGCGATCATGACCGGATAGGCTGAAAACGAATTCAAGTGCGATGGTGTCTTGAGCTTCAGGTTCCTCCTTTTCGCCCACACGCCACAACTTGATCTCTTTGTCTGCACCTCCGGTGGCCAGTAGCGATTTTCCGGATGAAGTAGCGACTTCATTATTTGGCCATAAGAAATCCAATGATAGAACTGCCTCATTGAGCCCCGTGGGGCCGCAGTGCAAACGGATTTCGGGTGTTGCTACACGCACTGACGGCATTTTAATCTTCTTACAAAGGAAACAAGTCTAAGACATCCAAGTTACTTTAACAAAGACTAATATTTTGAAATGGTGCCAATATTCGGACAATTTTAATTACTTAGTACACGATTAAGAAAGTAATTTATGATCCATACACATTTGATATCTGCATTTATTACAATACGGAACAATTGTAAGAAATTCACATTAAGGGGGGTAGTTTAAAATTATGAGGGCTAGTAAAATATTTAACTGAAGAATGACCACCAAATATTCTTCATAGTGTTGATTTCGTTAATGCAGCGGGGCTGCCGTAGCTTTGCGCTTAGAGGAGGCGTAATTTAGGTCACCGACCTAACGTTCTTCACAAGAACCAGAACGAGTGCAGCAGATCGCAACCGCTGCCTCCAAGAGTACTTAAAACTTCAGCCAAGATAAATGAACTCTTCCGTTCAAAATTGAGACTGTATTTAGTTGCTTAAGTTGCGGCAGAGCCGTCAATATCTAAAACCTTAGGTTTTCATAGTTAATATAGTGATACCTAATTAATCTGCATTACTACTGGTAATCCTGCCACGTAGTAGCTTCTTGTTACGGTGTAGCCACATCACTGTGGGATGCCTTCGACTTGTGTAATCCACACCTATGTACCATCACACCATCCTGTGCGACCCGCCCTTTCGTACAAGGGTACGTGCAACCCCGTTACAGGCGGCGCCTTTGGCTAGCCAGCCGACTTCGGTAGAATGGAGGCAATTCATCAGTATACGATATTTCCGGCCTTCCCAAGAAGCGTCCGATAATCCCTCTCTGGGATTGCCTGAGCAAGATGGCCTATCGCGTACTGTCAGCAAGAGTCTGACTGGTGAGGATACAGACAAGCTGTTTCATCGACAAAGTGTTTCGCCAGCATATCTTGCCGGTCGACGTTGTATCAGTAGAGACCCGCCCTCTACAGCGAAGTGCAGACATAGATTATAATAGTTGCTCAGCACTCGATTGGTCATGTTGACCGCTAATCATTCCCAAACAGGTAATTCAAGAAAAGGCATGATCTCGCTGTGAAGGATATCCTCCGGAGCACTTGCGCGGAGAACCTACGGCACTAAAGTAAGGTGTTCCCACTCATTGATTTTGCGTTCAATTAATGCAGTACATGCATCTAAAGAATCTACATCGTTTTTTTAATGGTCGGGTGAGTCCCCAAGTGTGATAGCACCACAAAATCGCTCCGGGTCGACGGGCGATCGAAATCGACTTGTAAATATCAGCCAGTCTACCTTCATAGCAAAATTTGTTATTTTATCTCGGTGAGAACGGGCATCATTCGAAGGGTGCATGCTGTTAAGAACAAGAGCCAGCCACTAGAGGGGCTGATCCCCGTTGGCACAGCCCGATGGGAATGTGGCGGCTTACATTCACGTAAAAAGATAACTTTACCGGCTCTGCACCAAGACTATCACCAGTATATAATGAAATGGAAGGTTTATAATCAGACAGAAAGCTTGTGAATGTCTGATTGTTCACTTAGGTACGATCGCACTGATTGATCTTGGCGCATCCTCGGCTTATTATTCCCTTGGGGTAGTGATCGGGTCGCCCATCGCAGCGCGCTTCCACTAGTGGTAGGCGATCGATCATGCGGTGGAAAATATTTATGTTCAGTAGCTGTTACATGAAAAAGTGAGGTTGTTAACATCAGAACTCGAGGCAATGAGTTGCCGCCTCTGTTCAACGTCAGGTCCTTAATTTCAGGTATCAAGCGCTCAAGTCGGATGTCTGCTTCGTCGAGGCTGGATTATAGAGCCTTAAACAGGGTAGATGGCGTGATTTCCTTACCCAGTTGACAAACTGAACCATAAACCGAGCGGTACTTAAACCAGCTTCTCGTCACCAAGGCACATACCTTACGGAGATTACAAAATTCCCCAGCAATTGCTGCTCCAGGCGTGGATTTCTCCTTAGAGTGCTGAATCATGGCTTGCAACTGCTAGCCAGGCTACTTTCGCCCTCGTTTCGCTCTCGTTGTGAGCAAAAGCGCAACCGGAAAAATTCTGTACAACGACTTTAGACGGCTTAAAGTCATAAATACGACATGATTTGAACAAGTGTCGGCGAGGATCTTGTGCTTGATGTCAAGCAAGCCGAGACCGTTGAGCGTGATTAAGTTCTGTTTTTGTGGTAGGTCCCACGGCGGAACTTTTCGCAGATTGAAAAGGGCACAAACATTTAAACTCATGGGAGGATGAACGCAGTGAGCGCCTCCTCTTCGGAGAACAATTAGGCCGCGTGTCACCGGTGAGAGTAAGTTATTTTCGGTCGAAACACAGAGGGAAACTGGAAGCTTTCTCGTAGGTGAATATCTTGGCATCCTCGCCGTAAATGCAATGAGCACATCGATCGGGAGGAACGCGCTTCTAGGGGGGTCTCGTTTAGCCATTTATTTGGTCCCTGGGACTGCCGGTGTAATTTTGCTCAATAGAACTGGCAGGGTAAAGTGCAGAGAATCGCGCGAAAACCAGGCGCAGCGGTTGCTCGTGGAGCGGTCATGTTTGCGAAGTGTCTTTATAAGGTCTAAATATGAACGTCAATGTGAACCACATAGAATGTGCTGGGGCTTTAGAATATTACTGTGATTTCAAACTTACACATTTGGGTAGGGATTATTGCATTTATCACAATATGTACATTATAGGAATTACATTTTAAGACACTTGGCGTAATCTTCATCCTTATTATCTCATATTGATATTTCAAAAATTAGGAAACTTCAAAAAGGAGAGGTGCAAGGTACACGTTGGCTGTAAGTCACATGTGGGAAGCAAAAACGTTTATCGTAAAAATGTATTTATTTAATAGCTGTATTTTCGGGATAAAATTTAAATACCATTGAGTCAGTAGAGTAAACAGTGTATGTTTCGTCAGAGCCCCCTAGCTCTGCTCCTTGTAGGAGTGAGCAAAATTGAAGTTTGTGGGTATGGTAATGCATACCAAAATAAATATAAGTTTTACCCACCTCTGTGGGTCAAACTTATATTTACTAAGCGCACGACAACCCGATGTAAAGCAACTGAAGCGCTACTTGTCGACCTACAGCATACGAATGACAATCAAATGTGCTGCACCGTTTGACAAGGTCAGAAGTCAGGATGGTTTAAGTTCAAATGCAACATTTCAAGCATTTAGGGTTTGGTCGCATCCATCTCAATATCCTACCCCAACCTCTGGGAGCTAACAGGAAGTACGATGAGTACTTAATTCTGTGAGCGTGAATGAAAAAACCAAAGCGTGCCCCCCCCCCTCAACGATTTTGTAGCCTGGTACACGTCAAGAAATAAATCTAGAATTAGCTGCTGGGAACCTACCAAAACCCAGTAATCAATGCCGAATCGTTTTCAAGGTGGTTTCATCGCTATATAAAACACTGCGGTAAGAATATACTCACGCGCTCCGCTCGAATATCAAGTCGGACGTGGGGAGAGAAATGCATCACAATCATTCCGTGGTAGAAGAAGCTGAGCAAGAGTTGATGGGCGTTTATGTATATTCCTGAGATATAGGGAAGCAGACCATTATACTGTTCTTCTTACATTCTAGCATGTCTGTATCAGCCCACGCAGGCTTTATTGCTACACCAGATGACATGGTGCGCTACTCGGTGGGATTGTTTGAGTCTAAAGTGCTGAAACGCAGACTCAGGTGAGCATGAGATTGATGCTGCATTTAAAATGTATAGGTAGAGCGTTATACCGTCGAATGCTGTAACAGCCTGATTCTGAGTATCTCTCACACGGCCGATACCGCAACAAGAATGTCATTTCTAAAGGATGTGGTGGGATCTTTTTTTATTAACCCAATGCATATATCGTTTAGACCTCATATATTTGATCCGTGGTTGTTAAAAACAATATTATCTCATATTGGATCTGGCAATCTTTGACATACTATTTAAGCTATGTCCTTAGGGCTTCAAATAGCGACAATTCAAGCGACCGAGATGATACTAGTACGTCAGTCGATGCACCAACCTTTTTCGCCGTCTGTACATGTCAGAGCAAAGCCTGATTGAGTCTGTATAGTTATATTCGTGACCACCAATCCCTGATCCATGGAATGGCGGCGTCAGCAGGACGCGAGGGTTAATGAGCCCGTTCACGTAGAACGGCGTAAAGCCGGTATTTGAATGCACTGCATTGTTCAGAGCGACTCTACGAGTGGCAACATAGCGCTCCTGCGCTTCGGCGTCACAGGCAAACGCTGCGAGAAACGTCTTTTACGACGCGACTCAAGCATTCAGTTTGACCATCGGTCTGCGGATGGTCCGCGGTTGACATAGTCAACTTGGTGCCCAGCACCTTAAAGAGTGTAGACCAAAACTTCCCCGTGAAGCGCGAGACTTTCTCTATCATGGACAATTGACTCCGGGGATCCATGCGTCGAAAGACACGATCAACAAACAGCGTCGCTGTACCCACACCGTCGATGGAGTCCGGCACTATCGCAAGATGAGTCTTCTTGCTCAAACGGTTCATGAAGACCACTGTACCCGTGTTGCCAAGCCCTTTGGGTGGCCCGACACAAAAATAATACTCATGAACTGCCAGCATTCGGAAAATACCAGTAAACTGGCCAGCGGCGCCACCGCATTCGGAGAGAGTTTCTCTCTCTGACACGTCTCACACGTGCGCACATATGTGCTCGTCCAGTTGTACAGCTTGGGCCACCAATAGCGGTAACTCACCTAGCTGTACGTCTTCTCACGACCGAGAGGACTACTAAGTGGGGTGTCATGGGCCTCATAGAGGAAACGGTTCTTAGATCCTCATCGTGAGGAACCACAATACGTGGCATATCCGCTGAATCGGTGCTATAATACAGCAATACGTTATTCAGCGAATATCGGTGTAACCGTGCACGCAAGCGCGCCGACAATTTCTTGTCCGAGTTTCCAAACCCCTTTCCCCCGAGAACCTGTAGAAGCGCTACACACATACTGTCACCCGAGTGTGTGTCGCGGATCGCATCCGCCACTGACGACGTCACCGTCGTGACATGAGCAAGCTCATTTTCCGGTATGCGTGACAACGCATCAACAAAGCATTCTGTTTTCCTGGCTTATACTTCGAACTTAAATTCTGCAAAGAAGGAGAGCTTCCTGGCCATTCTCTGCGAGAGGTGATGCGACTGAGTCACAGTGCGCAGGGACGCATGATCTATGTAGATCACAAACGCCTTCAAGCCAAGCACGTGCATCATGAACTTGACAAGTGCATACTTCATCGCAAGTAATTCCTTATCGTCGACTGAGTAATTCCTCTCCGCAGCCTTCAGCTGTCGAGATTCGAGCGTGATCACCCGACCTCGCCCCTCGGTGTCTGCTTGCAACAGTGCACAACCGATGGCAAAGTTCGAAGCGTCACACAGGTCACTAAAAGAACGATCGGAGACTGACATCGCCAGTATTGATGCATGAAGGAGGCTTTTTTTCCTGTCAAAAGCCTCCTGATGCTCGGTGTTCCAACACCGTTCCATGTCTTTCTTGAGAAGATTAGACAATAGATGTGCCATATACTTGTGCAAGTAGTTGGAGAGGCCAAGCCACTTGTGCAAGTCCTTTTGTTTTTGGAGCCGGCCAGTCCATAATGGCCATGACCGTAGCGGAATTCACTCGAAGGCCACGCTTCCCAATGAAACACCCTAAAACAAGAATTCCTTCCGCACAGAAGATGCACTTATCGGCATTAGCATACGGCTTATTCATGCGCAAGCACTCGAGCACCGCTCTCAAATGGACGGTCTGGTTTTCCTGTGCCCCGCACGACTGTGGACGAAGATTTTGTCGAAGTTTGTAACGGGGTTACACATACCCTTGTAACAGTGGTGTGTGTCACACCAGATGGGCATGGTGTGACCACACCCAAACAAGAATACGGTACGGGGCTGGATAGCCAGTAGTTATACATGAATTTAAATTTTACTATAAAAAATCTATACAATTTGCCTTGGGTTAAGGTTGTAATTACTCTTGGAGTTAGCTAATTGGATGCGCTAACCTCATACTTGTTCTAAGTATAGAACGAAAGGTCGGTGACCTAACTTACGCTTTCTCAAAGCGCGAAACTATGGCTGCCCCGCTGCAAATTATATATACGCATACGCCCGATGGGGTCTGATTAATTGCGTCACAAGAAAGTAAAATGTTGCTGGTGCATTTGCCATCTCTCGGGCCAAAACCAGCCACTTCCAGAGCATCCCGCTCGGAGTACTCACCGCTGTCAGCGAAATACCTTCCGCTTTCATGAGCAATTAAAATTAACTATCGTCCAAGTCGAGTGCGCTGTACTTTGTATATCCAACCATATTGTTCTGGAGACCATCCTTTCCAGGTTCGGCGTCTGTGCCATATTGGTGGCAGTGTTGAGCTTATTGTAAGCGTGAACA